CAATGGGCTAATTGAATGGCAAGACCGGAAACCGAAGCGAGAAGGTCTCAAGCAGCGATCGAACTAGCTTTCGGGGCAACCTTTATTCACATCAACCTGATATAGGTAGGTGATAATTCGAGCTAAACGATGTTTCCTCTTCCTTAGCGCCCGAAGAAATGCGCACAAAAGCCATGGCACGCCCACCCATCCACCACGAGAGACTGTTAAGCCAGTAACCCACTGCTACTTCCTACTTGCTGAAGTGCGACCAGTCTTTCGCCGTCTCTCTCTACCTCTCTGTCTCTCTTCGGGCCATTTATCGTTATGACAATGCCATGGTAACACTTGCACTTTCGTTGAAAGTTGTTTGGCCAGCTGCAGCGATGGCCAAGAAAGAGAAAAAGATCAAGCGGAACAGAGCACAGCCCACCGATCAGCTGTGCGCACTCTTACTCTCCCGCTCTCTCTCTTTCTCTTTCTGTTTGCCATAAATCACAAATATCTGCTTATTGGTATGGAGATATGATTACCACAATGCATGCCTCATATGCAAATAAGGGTCTGCTCGAACTTTGCGCAAGCCTGCATACAAATGTTGTAGCAAATCGATACCGAAGCCCAAAGAAAATAGCAATCGCAGAGAATGCGGCAATTTTGTAATGCCCTGACCAATTGAAGACCCAAAGAGCGAAAGAGGTACGGGTACGCAGTGACAGGGAGAGAGATAGAGAGAGCCACAAAATTAGCAGCAATGAAACGGGAAATTAACAGAAGCATTAACAGAGGCCAAATGCAGGTAGCAACGGCTGCAGGAAAATCGGCAGCAACCACCTCAAATGAGCATGAAAATGCAGCTTAACTGTGTGGGGGGAGGGAGAATCCACTACCAGCTGACTGCTGGCTGCTGGAAGATGGAGATGGAGCGGGATCTGAAAGCTGGAGCTGCAAATGGCATGGGGATTGCAGCCCAGACTTGGGATACAGACTCGGCGCTGAGACGCGGAGCTAAGACCCGGGGCCCGAAGCACGAAGCCGGCCAGACGAGCTTACGACACGTTACGTAAGCGGCGAGCAAAACAAAAAAGGTAAATATTGGATGGAAAAAAGTAAAAATAATCATGAAATAAATAAGTCAAATAGCTGATACAGCGGAAAGGCATTCAAAAAAGAGAGAAATTGCCAGAGAAAAAGCGCGAGATATAGCGAGAAACAAACCGCCCAAAGAGAGGTGTGAGAAAGCGAGAGTTAAGCGGCTGATAACGTGCCGAAGATGATGGCCCAGTATTTGGCTTGTGCAGGCGTTCAAGCCACCAATTAACGGTAAATTTCGCTTGACCCATTGCATAAGACGCCGGCGCAGCCAAAAACGGAACTAATCCGAACAGTTTGGCAGGCAGCGCAGATGTATTGATGCTGGGATGGACTGACAAGCTGCCACACAAAGTATTGGAAAGGCATGTGCCATTGAGAGGAGCCGGAACGCGAGAGTATGTTGACGTTGACGCATGAAGTTTCATTAACAAAAGCTGTCTGTACAAATATTGCAGCGGACAAAACAGATAAATATTTGACACACATTTTTTTTGGTTGAACCCCGGCTCAACATGACTCAACAACCTCAACAGCAGCCCACTGCAATGCTCAATTTTCCGAAGATTCGACTTGGCCAAACTGTTTGCACACTCAAGTAAATATTTGCACAATTTCAATGGCATTCTGATGGGATATAATCGGGAATACTTCTGCCATTGGGGACACATACACAATTGCTGGTTAAACACTTTTCGATGCACTCTCTCATTAGGTTTTCTGTTAAGCAAGTTCAAGTTTGATTTCTGCTTTGGACTCGAATTCGGTTTTAGTTTTGGTTTCAGCTTTGGGTTCAGACTCGGACTCGTCTTGCTGTCGCGTACCGTACCGAAAATATTTCGTGCTTCACGTTTGACTGTCGCCGACGAAGTGAAGCTGGGACTGTGCAGCGGTGCGCTTAAGCGGCAAATTGCTCTTACTTATACGTTAACCCCTGGTGTACGCCCGACCCGATCCGCTCTCCGTTTGGGCATGCATATCATGGCCAGAAGCTGTGCAAATATCCCAAACGTTTAACACCTGAGATGAATGCATGCTTGGAATAACTTTCGTTTGGGTAACCAATTCTTAGCTTTCATTAGAATTACTCTTACCTCAAGGTTGGGCACTCTGACTGGATAAATATGGATAAATATTTGCAAATTATATTTTCATTAGATTTGACTTACTATATGTATATATATATCTGGTGAGCTGGCTAAAGCGTCTTTCGGAAAGAGTATTCCACCTTCTGGTTTCATTCAATGCCTTTTGGGAACTGCCTACATACTTGTGTATGGGTTTATGGACAGACCTAGCTGAATAACAGCAGTTTGTGAAAAGCAGAGTTTCTATGAGCTTGAATTATGGCCGCACTCATTTCGAGTCCACGCCGACACGCCGGCTCACGCATATATTATGCAAAATTATATCTACATTTCAATTTTGGCAATTGGTTCGGTACCATAGCAAACAGGCTAATGACAGCTGCGTATTCTTGACCAAAATCTAGTTGTTTGGCCCTATTTAGTCATTTGAGGCACGCAGCCGGAGAGCTCTCGCTTATCTGAAACTATAGACACGTGCAATGAGGCGACGCGGCCGTTTATTGTCACCACGGAAAAGCAGTTGACACTGGACAGAGATGTGACAGAGAGATGGGACAGGTCGCCGCATCGCTTCACCGTTTGAGATCAAGGATGCAACTAATAATCTGTGGCACAACAAGTCAAGGCGAGGCGGATGGACAGACAGAATGTGGATATATAAAAATAAGCTGGCAATGGAATAAACAACTGTAAAGGGTAATTCAAGCTCAACAATTAATGGCAGACATCTGATGAAAATGAACTTTTCACGAGCTTCAACTAATTAACAAAGTGATTGCCTAATCAAATGATCAAGTCACTTGAGCTGCAGTATTAGCGAAACAATTAAGCGGGGGATTCTTCCGTAGGGCCATTAAGCTATCAGCTCTTAGAGCTCTTTGACTCTCGGACTGGGCTGGTGACCTCGTTGGGCTGTTCTCACATCGCCGCTTTACAGGCGGACTTAGCCAAGCGCAGATCGTAAACAAAAGAATGCCACAGCACTGTGCAAATAAACCTCCAAAACACAAATGAAAAATGGAAAACGAACCGAAAATATCAGCAGCAGCACGAGAGATATTCATTTACACCTGTGTTCATGAATTCATATTTTGTGCATTCTGGCAGCGTGCCTGCCAGTCTGTTGTTCTGGCCCCGAAAGTATGTCAACGTTTGTGGTAATTATTCTACGCAAATATTTGATTTGATTACTCTGGCATGTCCCTGGTCAAAGGGTTCAAGAGACTACTCTTGATATATCTAGATCGAACCAGGAAGAATACAAATGAGATGAAGATTTCACCGCAAGCAAAGCTCCGCTGACGCGTCGCAGGTGAAAGGCAGAACCTGTACTGGAGGCTCGTGTGGCAGCCACAGCCCAAGGACAGCTACAAGTTTACAAAGCTCTGACGTCAATTGGTTCTTTGCACTCAAAAACAGTTAAGAATTTCCACATGAGCAACGGAGAGCAAACAGAGAAGCTTCTCATTGTGCGGCAGATAATAATATATAGTATTCGTACAGTTCACATTGCATACTATAGATAACTCAAGTTTCATTCATAATTTCAAATAATGACAACAAATGCTGGTGGAATAGTATCTATTTTAGCTGATAAGGCGCAACTTCACAGGAGGTCGGGCATAGTAGCAAACAGTTGTTCCGATAAGGTAATTATTGTATATATTTATCTACAAATTTATGTTCCACTCTTCATAGTTTCTGGCAGTGTATCCAGACTTTGGTATGTATCGTGGATGGATTAAGTTTATATTTAAAATGTGTGTATGTACGAATGTAGGCATGTGTAGCAAAAACTAGTTTATACGTATACGCACACGAAATCTTAATATGAGAAGAACAGCCTAAAAGTATGCACCACTGAGAATCCCTCAAGTGCAGTTAATTTAATTTATTATACCCGTACTGAAAAAAGAGTTAAGGGGTATATTAGATTTGTGGTAAAAGTGGATGTGTGCAACGCAGAGAAGGAAACGTTTCCGACCCCATAAAGTATATATATTCTTGATCAGCATCAATAGCCGAGTCGATAGAGCCATGTCTGTCTGTCCGTCCGTCCGTCCGTCCGTCCGTCTGTCCGTCTGTCCGTCTTGATGAGCGCCTAGATCTCAGAGACTATAAGAGCTAGGGCAACCAAATTTGGTTTCCACACTCATGTGATATCACACTGCTACAAGTGTATTTCAAAATTTCGCCCTGCCCCCTTCCGCCACCACAAAGGACGAAAATCTGTGGCAGGCACATTTTTAAAGATACGATAAAACTAAAAACGCATTATCGTAGAGAATGCCCATATCTACCAGATTGCTGAATCTGAATTAGATCGGATCATAATTATAGCCAGAATGAAGAAATTAATTTTCAGATGCTTCCCCTGCCCCCTCCGGCAAACAACAATGCAACTCATTTTCCCTCTCGGTCGCACACTCTGCCGCGTTCAGTCCGCGAGCAACCCCTAGCGGAGGAGATGTAGAATCTAAATGGTACATGTACATTGTACAATCTACATGTTAGATGTAGAATATACATTGTAGATGTAGATGTAGATAACAGATGTAGCAAAAAAATGTAAAATGTAAAATTTTTTTTTTATTCTAAAATTCTAAAAAATCATATGCTCAAAAATGTATATGCTGACAGAGTACGGGTATAAGTAGAGTCGCGTCCCCAGAAGCGACTCGCACGTTCCTTCTCGTTTTCTTTTAAGTAGCAAACGTTTAAACAATTAATTACATCAGTAAAGTAAATAGAACAACAAAATAAGAGCAAATTGCTTCTGCTGTTTAAACGTTTACTACTTAAACGAAAATTAACTGATAAATTAATTAGATATTTTGCGACTTGCATTGCCGTCACGCATTTATTTCGATTAGTAATAAAATATTATTGGGGAATTCACAGTCCCGCTATCACAACCACTTACAGACATACATCTAAAAAAATATATACTCTCAGTAATGTATTAGTCGCTGTCTTCCTTGATTTATCTTGACCAGCCTAAAACCCAAAAAGATCACAAAGACAGCGATGAACCCGAAGCGGAGGCCCAGCATCAGCATGTTATCAAGGCTGTAGTAGCGCATGAACGAAACCTCCTCGATGTTCATGCGCATATGGGAGGCATGCTTGTGCCGTAGGGCGTACTCCGTCCACCAGACGGCAGTATCCAGGGGACTCATGGGCCGATCCTTGAAGCACTGCGATAGCTCCTTGGCCTTACGCGCGTAGCGTGGATCCTCGATCAGGGCCCGGATGGTGGTGGTCAATGAGTCCACCGTCAGGGTGTTGATATCGAGGCTCTCAGCTATGCCGACCATCTGCATGCGCCTCATGTTGCCGAACTGGTCGAAGAAGACGGGCAGCCCAAGCATGGGCACTGCGCTGTGAACCGCCTCTATGGTGCTGAGGAGTCCACCGTTGGTGATGAAGAGCTTGACATTCGGATGGCCCAGCACCTGGCGCTGTGGAGGCTTATGTATAGTGTAGATGTTATGCGACCTATTACCCGACGTCTCCACCTCTCGTTTCCAGACGATGCGCTGCTTCAGCTTGGAGAAGGTCTGCACCAGTAGCTGCTGCATGGTCTCGGGCAGGAACCTGACCAGGATCTCCTTGCCCATCGAGAAGTAGATGACGCCGTGCTCGGCCTCGTCGAGGAAACGCTGCAGCTCCTCATCACATGGCTCTGGGAGCTCGCTGAGGTGCAGTCCTGCCACCTCGATGATGTTGGGTACATTGGCTCGCACACGGCCCATGCTGAAGTGATTGTTCATCAATATCACTGAGAACCTGGCCCGCAGGTCGTTGAGCTTCTCGGGGGGATAGCCGAAGAACTGCTTCAAGAGCCGCAGCTGGCCCGGCCGGTAGATCAGGTGCTCTACGAGCTGTTCCTCGGTTATGTAGATCCAGTTGTACCACCTGCTCAGCAGGGAGTTGTCCCAAGAATATCCTGCGGGCGAGATGGGCTCATAGACACTGGGCGAGGGATTTCCCGCCAGGTAGTCTACCGCCCAATTGATGCTCACAGCCGAAATGCCCATTATCGGAGCATTGTAGAATCCAGCCAGCCCAAAAAGGGCATCCATGTGCACAGTCTCCAGAGTGATTATGTCGAACTGTTCGCTGCTGTTCCGAAGCATCTGTTGGACTCCTGTGTCGCTCAGAATCGCGTAAGAGATGTTGTACAGAGCCTTGGAGGTTAGATAGCTCTCGGACCATTTGCTTGAAAGGAATTCCATAAGCAAATCGGAGTCAATAAGTTCTGCAGAAGAGTATCCGAACGGTAATTACAACGATGTTCTGTATACATGTGTTGAACAACTCACCCTGAGTTTGGAAGTCCAGCATCGGCACTCGAATGTGACGGACTCCCTCGATGTCACTCGGCATATTCACTGGCGTTATCATCGTCACCTTGTGGCCGCGCTGGGTGAGGGCTCGCATCAGGGGATTGACCAGCTTGAATGGCGAGGGAAACCGGTACGGAAAAATCGCCAATATATTGGCCGCCAGTGCTGACTCCAGGATGAGGAGCAGGGAAAGCGCTAGCCAAGCACTGCCGAGGCGCATTTTCACGTTTTTTCTTCGTCGGTTTCTGGTCCGTACATGTCGCAGCTCTGCACTGAAGTGAATGGCAATCTAATCTAAAGTTCAGTGCCAGCACAGAGAGTCACATTCGAATTACAAGCCATAACAATAAATACGCTGATAGCCGATATCTGCTGATAAAAATTTGAAATTAGAGAGAGAGAGAGGAATTTGATTAAAAGCGAAACCACATCAGCTGAATGCCTCCCCTAAGAAACTTTTGCAAGATACGTTTTATTCCCATGAAGTTGAAGGTGCACTTTTACATTTTTTGTGGTCCCCCAGAATGACTTTTACATTTTTTTGTGGTCCCTCCATCTTCTCCAACTCCCCCGCAAGGTATATAAAAAACCCGGTGAGGCCGTGGCTTAGTGATTGGTTGGGAACGCTGGGGGTCGAACGCCAACATCCCGCCCCCCTTTGCAATGTATTGCAACTTATGGGGAGTCCAATGCTACAGAAATGCTTTACGGCCGGCACCCGCCCGACAGCGTCCACCCGAAGACGGTGTGCTGTGCAACAGGGAGCCCCTCGGCACTCGGCAGCATTCCATCGCGGATGATGTCACCATACACGTCCGCTCCCAGAATGAGAGCCACAGTGGCCGGGCGATGAAAGTTGTCGTCTGCCAACGTTAGGTGATCGAATTTGCTCCGTATGCGATCACTGATGGACGCGGAGGGAGTTCGCAGATGCAGCTTCGGGTCCACCTGGAACACGACCTCCAACTGGAAGTCCGGGGACATCGGTGACCGGAGCACTGCTGCACAGGCTTCTTCATCCCCGATCATGGACGTGCGCAAATGGAAGGCCTTGGCCAGCGACGCGTTGATCGCTGACATGGGGCGGCAGGGGTCGATCAACGCCCGGGTCTCATAGGTGGTGGTCCCGTTGTCGACGGTGACGCTTGCGGTCGGTAGTACCTGCGGGTTGCGGTGCTGCAGCAGTGTGGTCAGAGTCGGAGGTCGGCTGGAGGAGGATGCCGAAGTCCTCGGAGAAGTAGCCCGTCGATCAGTCGCTGTGTCCCGCGTTCGTGGTCGGCGGGAGGCGGAGGATGCCGTCGTCGGAGCTCGAGGTCCAGCTGGTGAGGATGGTGTGACGGATGTGGGGCGACGACGAGTTGTGTCCGGGATATGCAGGAGGGTGTGGTGGTGCTTGTGGCAATGCCGACACCGGTCTCCGCTGCGGCAGTCGCGTCCCGAGTGCTCATGGGCTAGGCAGTTGGGGCAGTACTGATTGATGAGTGCCGCCCGCAACCGCTTTTCAGCGCTTAGCCGCAGGAACCGCCCGCACTTCCTAAGAGGATGGACGCCTCGGCAGACTCGGCAACGGTAGGACATAGTACCTCGGGTACGTCTGCTGTCGTGAGCTTGGCCCTCGGTGCTTCTGCGTTGGGTGCGTGTGGGCTGCTGGGGTGCCATCATGAGACCGTGGCTGCGGAAATCGGAAGTGAGGATTAGTAATGATGTGCAGGAGAGTTGTACGGACGAGTTGTGCTTAAGCCTAAGGATAAGAAGGCGGATACTTATGGATCGGGTAGTACGCGGGAGTAGATGGACTGGATCTCCGACTCCATAGGCAGCAGGACGACCTTAGTAATCGGTCTTTTGATAAGGCCTCGGACAGTGTTAAGGTCTATCACACGGACCTTATCATCGGGCCCAGGGTACGTTTTTTGTACCCGTCCGAGACGCCATTCGTGAGAGGGGATGTTATCCTCCTTGATAACAACGAGGTCTCCCACCTCTAGGTCTCTTGTTGGATGCTGCCATTTGGTTCGCTTGTGCAACTCTCGTAGGTACTCCGTCTTCCAGCGCGAACAGAATTGCTGGTTTAGAGCCTGGAGATGTTGCCAGCGGTTCAGGATGGAGGAGGCGCTCTCTTTTATTTCAGGCTCCGCCACGGAGAGTAGCGGCCCGCCGATCAGGAAGTGACCTGGGCTTAGAGCTAGCGGGTCATTCGGGTCCTCGGACATAGGAGAGATCGGTCGAGAGTTAAGGCAGGCCTCAATTTTGGAGAGTAAGGTGGCGAACTCCTCCAGTGTATATTTGGCTGTACACATCGACCGTTGGAACAGAGTCTTGAAACTCTTCACGCCTGCTTCCCAAAGGCCACCCATGTGTGGGGCTCCCGGAGGGATGAACCGCCACGATAAGCCCTGCTGACTGTATACCGCAGAAGTCCGCGTTCGGATGGCTTCGAGAAGATCTACAGCCAGAGCACGAGATGCGCCGACGAAATTCCTGCCGTTGTCGGATTGGACCTCGTGAGGACACCCTCGTCTCGCGACAAAACGAGCGAAAGCGGCTAGGAAGGTGTCAGTGGATAGGTCGGAAGTGGCCTCTAGGTGGATGGCTTTCGTGGTGAAACACACGAACACGCACACATAACCTTTGGTTATGCGGCATGCGCGCCCGATGAAGCTCTTGACGTCGAAGGGACCGGCAAAGTCGACTCCGGTGTATGTGAATGGTCTGGAGAATGTGACTCTTGTGGACGGGAGGTCCCCCATTAACTGGGTCTGGAGTCGCTTGCGATGGATTACGCATACCTTACAGGATTGGATCACCGCCTTCACTACGTGACGTAGTCGAGGGATCCAGTAAGTTGCACGGAGAAGGCGAATGACCAGCTGGTTCCCACCATGGAGGACTATGTGATGAGTGAAGCGCACCAGCAGGCGAACGAGGAGGGATGCGGGTGGCAGTAGGATTGGATGTTTCTCGTTGTAGGACATGGAAGCGGAGGCTTGGACTCGGCCACATGCTCGCATGACACCGTTCTGGTCAATGAATGGATTGAGATTCCGTAGGGAACTCGATGCAGGGAGAGGACGTTTGGTTGTAAGGCACCGATGTTCGTCCGCATAGTGCATGCCCTGCGTTGCGATGGTAACGGCTTGCAGTGCGGCCGCTATCTCTGCCCCGCTTACCTCGTTGGAATTGTGGACTGACCCTCCTCTGCATCGTTGGATGAATCGCTGCACATAGGTAAGCACGCGCAAAGCTCGCCCGAGATCCGAGAATCGGCTGAGGATGTCAGAGGATGTGCTACTTGTATGCAGCACCTTGACTGCTCGCTTCTCCAAGTCAGTCTCCGGGAATGGGTCCAGTGGACACGGCCACTGTGACTGCGGAAGACGCAGCCACGCAGGACCATGCCACCACATGTCGTTCCCCGCGAGGTCGATGGGTCCTATACCTCGGCTGGCTAGGTCGGCAGGATTGTCTTCCGATCGAACATGACTCCACAGCTCGCCGGAGTTGCAGCGCGCTATCTTGGCGACTCGATTGCCCACGAACGTGGTCCATTCGCACGCTGGTTTGTGCAGCCAGGCCAGCACAATGGTAGAGTCGGTCCAGAAGGATACCTGGCTACTGTCTAGCGGCATCTGTGGAAGGATGGCAGCGGACAATTCTGCCAGAAGAACCGCTCCGCACAGCTCAAGTCGAGGCAAGGATATCGTCCTCACGGGGGCCACGCGAGTCTTAGCTGTCAGGAGAGAGCAGAATATGCCATTCGGCCGCTCCACTCGGACGTAGATCGCCGCACCATAGGCACGCTGAGACGCGTCGCAGAAGCCATGAATCTGCACCTTGGCAGTCGGACAGACGTGGATCCACCTTGGTATGTGGATCTGCTGGATGGCCGGAAAACTCTGCAGGAAGGTCTCCCACGTTTGACGCAGATCGCCAGGAAGGTCCTCGTCCCAACCTAACTCTCGTAACCACACCTCCTGCATGAACATCTTAGCTTGGATGACAAAGGGGGCAAGCCATCCCGCTGGATCAAACAGCTTCGCAATCTGGGACAACACATTGCGTTTCGTGCAGGATTCCCGATGGATTAATTCGGGAGGGACAAAGAAAAACTCGTCGGCACTCGCTTGCCATCGGATACCCAAGGTCTTTGCGATACTGCTTTCTTCGAGCTCGAGGAAATCAGCTCGCAGTAAGTGCTCGCGAGGGATGTCGCTCAGCACGCCCTTCTGATTTGCGGTCCATTTTCGGAGTGGAAAGCCGGCGGAATCGAGTGCTTCTCGCAACTCGGCGATGGCGGAAATTGCCTGAGGCTGGGTATGTGCACCAGCTAAAACGTCGTCTACGTACATGTAATTGGCCAGGATGTCGCTTGCCATTGGGAACCGAGGATGCACTTCCTGTGCAAGTTGCCTTAGGACGCGAATGGCGAGATATGGCGCGCAGTTGACTCCGAAGGTGACCGTATCGAGTTCATAGTCGCAAACGTCCCCGTTAGGATTGCGAAAGATTATCCGTTGGTAGGGAGTGTGTTGTGGCGCCACGAGGATCTGCCGATACATCTTATTGATGTCGGCGTTGAAAACGTAACGGAATACGCGCCACTTAAGGATTTGCGTGGTCAAGTCGGACTGAAGGACTGGCCCTGAATGCAATACGTCATTAAGGCTTCTTCCGTTCGAGGACGGGCTGGACGCGTTGAAGACCACGCGCACCTTGGTCGTTGTGCTTTCTGGCTTGAAAACGGCATGGTGTGGAAGATAGAAGTGGCCGGAGTCATGACTAGGTGGAACCTGTTTCATGTGGCCTAGCTCTAAATATTCGTGAATGACATCGTCGTACTGCTTCTTGAGAGGCAAGTTTCGCTGCAGACGCTGCTCGTTTCTCAGAAACTGGGCGTGGGCCGAAGGCCTCGAGTAGCCCAAGTCTATCTTTTCCGGACATTTGAATGGAAGAGTGACGATGTATCTCCCGTCGGGAGCTCGCTGCGTGGTCTGGAGAAAATTTTCCTCGCAAATGGAGTCTGACTCGCTCGTAGGTCTCCCTGGAAGGTCCTCCACCTCCCAAAACCTTGTGAGAAGTTTCTCGAGTCGGACGTCAGAGCTGACCGAGATCTTCGTGGTGAAGGAAGAGATGATTCGAGACGAGTCAGCTGCGACAGGACCGGATAGGACCCATCCGAAGATAGTCTCTTGGCCCAAGAGCGAGCCACAAATGTTGGACCGGAAGCCGCTTAAAAGGATGGATGGAAGGATATCAGCGCCTATGAGCACGTCTATCTGCGCGCTGCGATGAAAGGAGGGATCCGCTAAATGGAGTTTAGGAAGGTCTGTCATGTAGTTCTGCGGTACAGGGTATGACGGGAGGTTACCCGCCAATTGCGGAAGAACGTACGCCGTGGTCTCAACCTGGAGGCCGGGCCTTAAGGCGGAGCCGATCGTGAAGTGGCAGAGTTTCTGGGCCTTGGCCGCTACCGTTTGACTCAAACCAGAGACTTGAGCCTGGACGGCTTGGAAGGGGGGCCGAATGATTTTGAACATCCGCTCAGTAATAAAGGTGGCCTCAGATCCGGAGTCGATCAGGGCTCTAGCCTTGTATCTTGTGCCGGCATGACAAATGTCCACTATTGCTGTGCCCAGTAGCACCTGGTGTACATTTGTAGCGCAATAGCTCTGGACACGGGCTGAGTCGTTGGACGAAGGAAGAGAAGAGGAAGTGGACTGTATGGTGGTAGGGGCTTGTGTGGTGTGAGGACTGGGAGCATCGTTGGAGCCACTCGGAGTCTGCTCGCCCCGATGAAGGAGGGTGTGGTGTCGTCCACTGCACGTACTGCAGTTGTACGCGCTGGTGCAGTCCCGGAGTTGGTGTCCTCGCGCGAAGCAGTTTAAGCAGAGTTGTTTCTGCTGAATGTAGCTTGACCGTTCCTGTACGGTCAGGCGAAGAAATTCTGGGCATGATCGCACAGGATGGTAGCTCCTGGAACAGAGGTCGCAAGTGCGCGCCTTGTTGGAGATTCTCCCCTCAAAGGAGTTCACTCGTCGAGGTGCAGGAGTGGGAAGGCTCGTACGGGAATTGTAGTGCGGCTCGATGCCTGGATGACCGTCCTCGGTCGCCTCGAGAGAGAGGTATCTCTCCTCTAAGAACTTGTTCATGGCGCGCCAAGTCGGAACCTCGAATTTATTCGGAACCGATTGTTCCCAAAGCTCCACGGTCGCCTTTGGTAACTTCGCGGTAATGAGGTACACCAGCACGCCATCTGCAAAGCAGCTGTCGGTGGACACCTCGGAGTGCTGAAGGGTCGTGAGGCACTTGTGGACAGACCTCTGGAGCTCCTTTAAGGCGGCTCCAGATTCCGATCGGATGGAAGGCAAGCTGAAAAGGATCTTCAACTGGGCCTTGAGTATCAGCCGTTTATTTTGGAAACGCTCACGAAGGTGGTTCCAGGCAGATTCAAACCCATCATTCGTAAGCGGGGCCAGTGCAACTATGTCGTGGGCTTCACCGCTCGTTTTCTGGTTGAGGTGGTATAATTTCTCCACCGGAGTCAACCTGGCGTTGTTTATGTAGATGGCGGTGAATAGGTCTCGGAACGTGGGCCACTGCTGGTAGTCTCCACTGAAAACCTCCGTGTCGCATGGGGGAAGGCGGCAACCGTTGGACATTTGCACCTGGACGGCTGGTTGCGCGGTCGGAATGACAGTTGGGGGCTGGAGATGGTCGTTGAGTTCAGCTAAACTTTGCTCGTACACCGCGTAACATTCATCGTATATGTCTTGGACCTCAACTTGACCATCCGGATCCTCTGTTGCTAGAAGTGCAGAACAGGCTCGATACTCCGATTCGACCTCCAACCACATGCCTCGGATCTGTTCCCGGCGGACTTGAGAAAGAGAGATGGTTGGGGTGCGCGCATCAGGAGCATTAAGTTTCTGGTCAAAGTGAGTGAGCCGGCCTGTAGCCAAAACAAACCTAGACCGTGCAGAGCTGGCGGCAGATTGGGCCATTGTTCCTGGAACCGTGCACGTGGATGGTGAGGGACACAAGAGGGTGTCGAATATGGAGGGGCAGACCTTGGAAGTGGTCGGACCTTGCGGGCGTGAGGGCGAACGCGACGACGTGGGTGTAGTAACTGCTGCGGAAGAGCTGGGCGGCTTGGCGTCACTCTGCGAGCTTACACGCTTTAGTTTTTTGCTGACTCTCTTTCCACCAGAAGGCATACTAAGCTGATGGATCTGCTATGGGAAGAGTTCGCAATTCCTGTGGTACACGGAGGGAAGAGTGCACAGGCGGACGTTGAAGTTGGACTAATACTCGTCGCACACGTAAGTCAGAGGAATTTAAATATTATAATATTTAGTTGCGCACTCGTTGGGTGATTTTGTTGTCGGAAGGAAATTTATTAATTACCAAGCAAAATATAATTATTTTAGTCAGAGGAATTTAAATATTATAATATTTAGTTGCGCACTCGTTGGGTGATTTTGTTGTCGGAAGGAAATTTATTAATTACCAAGCAAAATATAATTATTAATGATAAATTAATAGTCCTCAACAATCATCACTTTTTAATAACAACAGCGATCAATTATAATTATTAATCACATGAGCGGCAGCAGCCTTGCTAAGGTGGCAAAAATAAAAACACGAGTACCCCCAACCTGTATACATTTATCGATCTTGGACTATCGATCTCAACATAAAATGTACACAACACCAAGAATGCGTATTTGCATATTTATGTATTATGTATGCATGTATTGTACGCCGGCGCAATCGGAAATAAAATATTTAATGGGTTAGTTTATATATGCGGGCAGATGTTAGTTAATGATCGTGTAATTTGTTTTAGCCGTGCGATTATGTATGGATGTGAAGGTGCTTATAAGCCGGTGAAAATATATATATACATATGGATGTGAGCGATGTATGTTATGTGGATATAATTGTAATATGCGCAACAAATAAACATGTATATTTTCCTTGTATTGGCGTTTTATGTTGTGTGGGACGGATTGTGTGCACATACATATGCACGTACTTGCACCTGTGGAATGGCGACGGATCTCAGCAGCAGTACATCTATTCATACATATATGTATGAGGTGCCTGTTGTAGGGGGAGAAAACTCGCTTGGAAGGATTCCGGGAGACCGGTAGGCAGGCAAGAGGACCAATGGAGTAGGCAGCATGAGTGGTTTAGGCAATTAAGAGCGATAACAGGCTTTGGAGTGCCTATATGGGGTGCCAGAGTTGGCGGAAAATGGGACTTAGGTGATATGTACATACATATACTTGGATGGAGATGCAGATGACGGACGGAGTGTTCTCGAATGAGCAAAGCTGGTACTTAGCTTGGATTCTGGTTCCTCAAAGTTCCCGCGCTGCAAGCTGGATCGGAGGGGGGAATCTCTCCAATGCTTAATTTATCCGGCTCGAAGGACCAAAATGAAGGTGCACGCAGGCTTCGGGGGGAGTCCAGAGGGCGACGTGGGCGATCTCGGGGGAAATCGTTAGAAAAAAGAACACAAGTATGTCTATGCAAGATACGTTTTATTCCCAGAATGACTTTTACATTTTTTTGTGGTCCCTCCATCTTCTCCAACTCCCCCGCAAGGTATATAAAAACCCGGTGAGGCCGTGGCTTAGTGATTGGTTGGGAACGCTGGGGGTGGATGGCCTAAACCATCTATTAGTTTTCAAATGTACTTTGCGGTTACCATAACTGTACGATTTCACATCTCTGCTATAATCTATTTTGTTCTCTTAGCTCAATTCGGGGCCGTTTGTGGCGCTTTTTGTTGCTCTAACTGTTACTCTAACGCCATCCATTGGATAATATCAATGGCCTAAAATTGTACAGTTTTAATTTATTTGCAATTTTGGTACCTGACTTAACGTACTTAATCCGAAATAAAGTTTAAAAATAGATCCTCTCTTTCCTGTTGATTGATTTGCAATGGCTTTAGCCTTTTGGGAAACAGCCCAGCTTCAGAGTTGAGTACCCGTCCAAACAAAGTATGGGGCCAATCGCACGCATGGCCCTGCAAGAATGTTTGGCTGTTTAACATTCCAAGTTTAACTGCGCCCAAGGCGGAGGTGTAAAATGGCAGCGCTCTCCAGTCACCCGAGTGCAGGCCGGGCTCTGCTCTCGTAAATGCAACTGTGCGTTTTATATGTATTTTGACTATAACTCAAAGTGCATTTCCGCAGCGTAGCTATTTGCATTCTGCGGGAGAGCGAGAGCCTGCCAGTGTATAGGTAGGTGGCAGTGCCTCTTAAACATGCATGAGCTGCAGCAGCGGTGCGGCTGGGCGTAGAGTGATGGGGTAGCGGGACCCAGGGGGATGACTGCTGTGGCGCCCAATCAACGCCGCATCGGGGGACTGCAACGGGGTGACGGGGCGATGAGGGATAGGAGTAGGCAGCCCCAAATTAACTTAACACTCATAAATCAGCGTTAACGGCAACCGCAAAAAGCGTTGCATAAAAAATGGTTATGGCTGCTCCTCTTTTTCGGGGCTTTTTTTCGGCATGTTGTAGTTGTCCCTTTGACGTTTGCCACCGAATGGAGCCGGGTGAGAGGGTCTGTGGCAACAATGCATCGTTGCATTCCAAATAAACAGTTCCCGTAAAATGCAAGCGTTTGCATTGCAAAGTTGATGGCCGCACCAGCACCACCAATTGTCAGACGCAAGGGAATATCAGGCTAGGCAATCCAAATGACAGCAGGCCCCTGATGAAGCAACAGACATTTCGAATTGTGTTTAATCTCTATGACAGAAGGCTGTACTCTTACTGGAGTAGGCAGAAGCTAAACCGATTTGGTCAGACTCTCATTTAGCATTTGCACTCTCCTCGCATGCCCGATATCAAGAGGTCGAACCTCTGCTGATGGATTCTCATATTTGTTGAACATGCACTGCGTGGGCTACGGCTACGGCTACTGTTTTGTTTTCCATTTTCCTCTTTTCATATTTTTCCTGTTCTCTGACAGAGTAACTGGCGGGCAATTTGGTTCGGTTGCCCAGAAATTGGTGCCGTCAATTTTGGTAATTAAATTGTAGTGCACAATTTGCCATCATTTTAATCGGCATCCAATCATCGTTTCGTAGTAATTTAGATGGATTTCAGCTGGATGGATCTTTTCCCCTGAACGACCCCGAATAATTGAGCAGCAGGGGGGTGGGAGAGAGAGATACCAACTGCACGGGAAAGAACATATTAACAAAAAATCAAAAAAGCTGAATGCATAATAAATAAGGTGCGCGACAGGCGTGTAAGCGCAGCGCTTCCGATGCCTCCGATCCGGGAGCGGAAATGTAAATGATATCAATGCGGTAACTCAAGCTGACATTATTTATGCACTTTTGATTTGGACCTCCGCCCGATGCAAAGAAATGCCGAGCACTAAATCACAATTTGCCGCCAGCTGGCGATGACAAAACGCGACTTCAAATGACAGCCCGACCCACTCCCACTCCCACTCCCTTTCCTTCTCCTTGTTTTCCTTCTTGGCAAACAAAACCTCAGCAACAGCTGGACATCTACTTTTTAGGGACGGACCCTGGCTGGGTGTTCTTTGCCTTTTTTTGTGCAGCCATTACGCCATTGAGGAGTCTCTGGCATAATTTATGCACGCAAACGCTTCCAGCGGAAGCGGAAACTCAGCCGGAAGCTGTCTAATTATTCAGCGGCAGTTGGTTAATAGAGTGGCCCGTCTCTGACTTGTCGACTCTTTTCTTTCGGTGCGTATTTTGCATGTCTACTGAATGATCCCTTTGCCAACTGTTGCTCTGGGCTGGCGCTTTTAATTATCTTAATGGGCCAATGCGGCGTATGCGCGATATTGACTTTTAGACTTCTAGCCAAAAGCTGCTACTGTCAAACGCACATCGTGCAGTGTGCGAGCGCGGGTGGAGGAGTGGAGCAGAGGCGGGACACCTGTCACATTGCATCTAGCGCAAAACAATAAAACGCTTGCCAACCCATCCCGGCAGGTGTCGCTGCCGTGATAATGTCAACAGCGGAAACAATAAAAGCCGCAGTTGTCTTTTATTTTTGCTGCGGGCTCTGCGCTGCCACGGATGAAGGCAGCACCAGTAGCAGCAGCTGCAGCAGCAGCAGGTGGGAGTGTCTCCTCCAGATGAAGATAGCGGTTGACAGGGGCATGAATGGTGGCTGGTGGTGGTTTCGAATGTGTAAGACTCTGTGTTCTCTGATGTTTAATGTGCCGTTGCCTTTTTCCCTTTTCTAATAAATAGAATATGAGGCACTGCGATGGGAATGCGAATGGGAATGGGAATGGGATGTGTGTACATATTCAGCAATCCTATTAGGACCAGTCTCTCCTTCCATTTTCTCAAATTGTTTGCCTTTACTTTTAATTTCCGCTTGCGCCTAAAAGTTGTCAAAGGGTTCGGTTCGGTTCGGTTTCCTTTCAACTCAAGTGCTGCCTCTCCTGTTTACATCAACCTTCACGGAAAGTTGGCCAAGAGGGGAGTCCTGCTCCCAGCTCGACCCACATAAATTCAAGTTGCTTCACACGCCGCTGACAAGCGTCAGACTCGATAAATTACATTTCGTTGAGGGCCTGCTTTTTCCTCCGTCTGTCTGTCTGTTCGTCTGTCTGGTCTCTACTGCGGCTTCATAAATTGATGCTGGCCCTCTGACTGGCCACGGCCTTGAACCGCTACCCTGGCGCTCTTTTCATCGTGTAGAAGCCACTCGTGGCTGGCACTGCTGCCCGCTTCAGCTGCTCTTGAGTGTGGCCAAATGCAACTTTAGTTGCGTTTCGGGGCTGGGGCTTGGTCTTGTGTTTGTGTTTGTGTTGCGTTCTGTTGTGTGGCATGCCGCAAAAGTTCCGTCCCTCCCTTCATGCTGCGTCCCAGGGTGAGGCGAAATTAAAATTTATATGTCAAGCAGGCACAAGCAGAGCAGAAAGTTCTGCACCAACTTTGCGGTCTAAGGCCGGAGCTGGCAGTAAAGCAGCTAACTTTTGTGCCACATTGAGCGCAATAATACTAACAATACAAGTATTACCAAAGCCACCACCCACCCCACCCACAACCCACAGGCGGCTGTAGAGCAGCACCGCCAACACCAGATACACCAATTCCACATGCCAGGGTACAAGAATAATGCAAACTAATGCAATATTCACCACAGGAAAGTCAGGGCTGGGGCTGTCTGCCACTGCCACTGCCACTGCCGCTGCCCCCGGAGGCTCATTTTGCTACTCTCGTTATTATGACTATTTTCATGGACAGACAAACGGAAATCCAAATGCAACTGCAAATGCAAATGCGATCTTCAGTGGGTTTAAAGTGTCAGCTGCGGTGCTGCTCTTTGTTCTGGTTTCGGCCTGACAGGTCCACAAGTCCCAATTAGCCGCCCGAAAACCTCCAGCGGGACAAGCTACGCTTTGGTATCTCGCAGGGAGCTAGTCCATTCTCTACTCGCTGTCTCTTATGAGCATAAACAGAGCCAATAAAACGCTCAACCTCATGCGATTATCGCCTTTTGCTCCCCGCGCGGCCAGAGCACCTAAAACAGCTAAAACAGCCAAAAGGATGCTTGGAAGGGGCGAGTGTTGTTGCTCTCAACTGCAATTGCAGCGCTCTTGGCCCGTTCTTTCGGGTCCTTGCTAGCTTTTAAGCGTTCAAATATTTATAAAGCGAAAAATGTTATGTTGACGCGCTGGCGGCCATTTCAAAAGGAGGTACAGGACAGGAGCTGGAGTCGGAGCAGAACTGACTAAATGCAGTTCAAGTTAAGTGCTGAAAATTAGATGAAATGCAGAGTAATATTGGGCTTCGCCCAACTAAGAGTGTGGCCATAAACAGGGGCAGTCATAACCATTTCCCACTGTATCTCTCTGTCTGAATACGACCCATGAAATGGGTATTACTTTGAGGTTATTCGGCTGATGGAATTCAAATGTATTTCTTAAAGTTATTACCGCTTAAACTAGTTTAACGACTGAAAGCTACTCATTTTAGTTTCTACTTGGAGTAATGCATCTTGCAAGGTATTATTATATTATTTTTACAATTTATTCCCCTGTTTTGTTTTGATTGTTATACATTTTAATCAACGCTGTCATGTATAATTCCTAGCTCCAGCCACTGAAACCAAAAGCCCTCAGAAAATTGCACATCAAGTGATGAAGATGACACAAAACAGGAGCAGAAGCGGCGACGGCAACAAAGCCCGTTTGCATTCTAAATATTGCGCATACGCCGCGTGGCTCAAGCCCGCATCACAGACAGAGACAGAGGCAGAGGCAGTGGCAGTGGCAGAGGGGAGTGGCTAACCAAAGGAATATGTGGACTTTAACTAACTGACTACGACTGCAGACAGTGTCAGCGTTGCGGCATTAAGACCTCAGCTGAAATGATTACATGCCTGTTTAGATTTGTCAGTAAGGGAGAAGAAGAGAAGACTGCGGCGAAGAGAGAAGAAGAGCAGAGCCAGCTCATGTATTTTCCACTTGATAAATGATCAAATTAAGCATGGCATACAGCCGACCCACATGGCAGCCCCGAAATCCCCGGCGAACCCGAGCAGAGGAGAGTTTGCAGGGGCAACGAGGACCTGCAGCAGCTGCTTTAAACTTCTGCTCGGCATTGTTTTGTGGCACACAACACTTTCGCTGCACGGAAA